TGTCGAATAGATTTTGATTCTCTATGAAAATCGGAACAAATTTACCCTAACTTTCTCACTGAAAAGAAAGCTTAGCAAAATCATTTGGTGCAGTTTCAGAGTTTATTAGATGCAAACAAACAATCAAAACTTTCCTAAATGTACCTATTTGGAGAGAGTGGCTGCATCTTCTTCATTTGACTACGCAAGCTATGCAGGTCCGTCTTTGACTACGCTGGGATCCTTGGGGCCCTTTTGGCCGCCCCTTACTGAGTTTTTTTTTAAAAACCCAGTAATACTTTGCCTGACCCGGGAATCGAACCCGAGACCCCTTTGCCCAGCAGTCGCACTTGCTACCACTCGGCGAACGAGGCAGTCAAAGGTAATAAATTGTATCTATTCTATGGAAATAATAACATAACTGGACAAATGATGAAGAAAGTCTTTAGCTACATGCATTTATGTATTCAGTACTTGTATCTAACATTCTTTCCAGAAACCGGCTACTCAATTGCCGTCTCGATAAAATAAATGTATCTATGATGTTAATACCTCTAATATAAGACATTTATAAGACTATCAATTTTATAATAATCGATTATTATATCGCCATATTTTTTCGTTTGATACATTTTAATTAATTCATTTAGAACAACACGTTCAATTTAGTCTGACAAGTACATATGTAGTTTGATTGAATTATGATAGCTTTTATAATAATACATAGTTTAATATATTGCCTGGAGGCCTATTGAACTAGACAACTCGATTCATTTATAGAGTTATTTTTCTGCCTACCATGACTTTTGGATCATCGGTTTAGCTTCGAATTCCTCGTAATTGATGCGTTTGTTTTGTACGACCAGAATTATGACTCACATAACATATAACCTTTTTATTCCCGAAGGGGTAGCCAGAGGTACTCATTACGGCACTTAAAGCCACTGTACATTGTAACATCCACTTTTTACTATTTATGTTATGAGTCCCATGTAATAGGGGGTGAGCCTATTTCCTTACACCTACCGGGTACAATTCCAGACTCCGTGCTACTACTGATATATTTAATTTAAAAAACTCAGTAATACTATGCCTGACCGGGAAACAGAGACCTCCTGCCCGGCAGTCGCACTTGCGACCACTTGGTTAACGAGGCAGAATTATGAATGGGACTTCAATTCTTTTGCTCAACTCGGAAATTGAATCTAAAACTCGTACTTAATACTCAATTTACATCAGTAACGATGTAATAGGTACCTACTTCAATGTAACAGAGTGAATCTAGTTTCACTTCACACACCAAGACAACTTACTTAAAAAACACATAAAACAAATAACTTCTCTACGCACACACCGACGTATTCCAACATTATTAAGCTATAAAACAGTTCCCGCGAGTACTTACTTTGATTTGTAGTATATACGCATTACGCAGGTATTTGCAAGTACTTTCTACACGAATACAAACAACATTGTGTATTGTGCACAGAACATTAAACTTTTATGTACCATGCTCTACATCTCTGAGCCACCTCCCATTTGTCGCAAAGCATATCATAAGAAAGACGTCTGTATTGTTCGTATAGTCTACCAGCTGTTGCCTGCGACTGTGTCCGCGTAGAATATGAATTTTAGAACATAACGTTTTTTTAACATAACATAACATCACGTCTTTTATCCCCCAAGGGCAGAGGTGCACATTATGGCACTTAATGCCACTGTACATTTTTAAATTTTAGAACATAATGTTTTTTATCTTTCAATTATCCAAAACAACTCGCGACAGTCGAGAGTATGAGCTTCTAGCATGGCTTGAAACTAGGCGAGTTCCTCGTCAAATAATTACGTGTACGGTACTGGTCATAATTTGTAAGGAAGTGGAATTTGAGTGAAAGAGTAATGAATCTCTTAATCACTTAACAACTACCAAACGGATCTATATTTGTAAGAACCATAATAATACCTAATATTTTTAATGTTAGTAACTGAAAGATTGTCTGCTTGAAAGGTTTAGCAAAGTATTACTAGGTTTTTTGAAATAATTTCTCAGTAGTAGCACGGAGTCCGGAATTATCCCCTGTATATGGCAATAGGCTCATCTCGTATTACATGAGACTCATAATATACCTAAATAGTGAAAAGTGAATCTTACATTGTACAGTGGTATTAAGCGTCGTAACGTGCACCTTTGTCTACCCCTGCGGGAATAAAATACAGGATGTTATGTTATGTAACTGAAAAATGATATAGTACATAGTTCCTTTGGTAGGCTTTAATCACATAGCTAAATGTTCTCAGATTGCAAACAGGAGAGAATCCATCCATGTTAATTCTGAAACCCCTAGGCTTTATCCTTTGTAATCCAAGCCTTTCAGTGCTCTATTGCGTGAGGTACTGAAGTCTGGGACATTCTGACAAAGGATACTTTACCTTGGCAAATTAGAATTAGATCCTTAAAAATCTAAATTGGAAAACACATATCTACCTATTATGACCACGGAAAACTAAACAAACAGAACACACAGAACTAAATAAACAGTAACATCAGATTGTACCATGTATTCACGAAGGCTTGAAGGGATATACAGAGGGACATACAAGTAATACATTATTTTCCATTAACAATGTGAAAGAATCCGATGTAATAAGGTCGAAAGTCGTATACATACATTAATTTTAACATACAAAATTGCCTGTACTACTTACGTGTAAACTTTTAATTACATTCGACATGAAAACTTTCGTATGTCAAAGTTGTAAAGAAACTTGGCAATACTTCGCAAATTGATATCGTAATATGAAACCATTATAATTGTGTAACATGTAATAGGTACGTATATTTTGGCCAATGTAGATATTTCTACCCACACCTTATGGAAAAAGTTGCGTTAAGGCTTCATTATACGCCTACGTCTAATTTTTTCAGTTCACTTATTAAAGCTGTTTCTAATCGAAGTGACATGACTCGTGTATTTTTATATTATTTTATGTTCGGTCATTAATAAGAAACTTTGGATACCGATACTCAACACTCACCCAAGCCTCAAGAAGAAGTATTAAGTTTAATTAATATATTTCATATTTTTGATTACGGGCCCCTGACATGACTTGAAGCAGATCGAGTTGCCTCATTAAACAGTTACGTAATAAACCCAAAAAACTATCCATGTTATGGTATTATCTATGTACAATATACATATAAAAGAAAGTCGTGTTAGTTACACTATTTATAACTCAAGAACGGATATGTCAATTTGGATAAATATAAGAATCAGAAGACGGACATAGGATATTTTATATCCAATTACCTTTTTTTACTTTTTACTATAAATCGCGAACAGAAACGGGAAAAACGTGATTGCGAAGTCGTGGGTAGAAGCTAGTAGATTAATGAAATATGAATATTACTTACTTAAAGTTTCGATAGTAATAACGTGTAGCAAGTCGTGTTCTTTCGCATAGTACCGTACCGACCATAGGACAATAGATACGTCCTATACAATTCTACCTTGGGTGGCTCCCCGTCCGACCAGAAACAGACCCGAGCGTACGGCGCGTCGCGTTCCGCGCGCGCCTCAAAGAGCCATCAGACCACCACAGATGGGGCCCAATACGGCCAATGCCGATTCGGAGTCGCGGAGAACCTAACGGGTAACCGGGGCTCCGACTCGACGTGCAGGAGAAGGAACGGGGTGGTTTTTAGTCAGTAAGAGTCTGACACTCCCTTCCGCCTCACCCAGGCGGGAGCAGTCATTCGATGATTTTCCCCCCTAAAAAAAAAATACAATTCTACCTCTCATTTAAACTGTCAAACACCAAGCGGTCACCGGTGACCGCAACCTATTGTTCTATAATTGTGTCTATAATGACGGTACTCGACGAGTTAAGCGTACAAAACAAAATGAATATGATTTCCTCATTCCCCATTACCTTACAACTTGGTATAGCGCCAACCACGTAGATTGGCCATAAGTTCGACACTTTGACACTGTTTGGCGACACACCAGATCCAATTATTGTTTGCTTGTATGGGTGTACTGTTTCACCCATTTGTTTTACATACATATGGGTTCTGTTTTCTTTAGAAGTAATGTTATTCAACGTGTTGATCGTAGTAAGTTGACGTTGTATGTAACTCCTAGTTTAAAATTGATCTTCGAAGACTTAGGTCCTCAGGTTTAAATCATGTGCGCCTTAATTACTTACTTTAATCTTGTGTCAATACTTCCTACCTAATGCTATTAATTCTAAGTCTGGGCACTGATTATGACGGCATGTCAACACGTATTTACATATGTGTGTGTATGTGTGTCATGTAAGTAAACCCATTAGCGTGCAACGGGGCCATGCATCGGCCATTACGGGGAACGCGTTTGTTTGTACCGATCGTTATTCGTGACGATTCCTAACCTACGTGTTGATTGTTTACAGAACCATTGTCAGTTGTCTTGTGCCCTCAGCGTTCTTCAAATAACTGCTTTCAAGTTTCCGTTAAGTAGCGTCCAATCGTCATACAACTTCTCCGACCTGTTACGTCGTTTTCATAATAACGATGGAACCCAATTCTCACGAAATGAAAGTAAAACACGAGTCGGGACAAAAAATCGTTCCTCGTGACACGAATACTTAGGAATGTTACATAAAACTCGATGTGTCGTTAAGATAATTTTCCCTTAAATTTAACTTAAACATCTACCCTCGTTTTGCTTTGAATGTTAATCGGTAAAATACCTAAGTAAAACATATAACTATTATGATACTTTAAAACAAATCATAAACTTTGATACAAACAAGATTGAATCGACTTGGCAAATTGAAGGCTTTTAGTTTACGTAGCAAAGCTACGAGAGCTAGACGTGATTCAAATGCACAGAAAAAACTATGCAACAAAACAATCCCACTCTACGTCGCAGTTAAAATTGGATTGTGTAACAAGGCTAAACAGAGTTTTTTGTGGGCGCAAGTGAAGCGAAGTTGTCCGCGTTCGGAGCGTACAGTCGGCGCGGCGCGGTTGAAAGGCACCCATCTCGGTTGAATAGCGGCCCAGCCCTCAGCTCGCTATTTGCAGAACAATGCAGGCTTGATGTGCGCACGCCGCTACCGGGAAAGCGCGGAGGGAAAACGCGCGAAGTCGCCAGTCTCGGCCCGCAAGTGCGACCGGCCGCGCGCCGAAGCACGCACGACGCAAGCGCCCTGGCGCTCGACGCCACGCGCCGCGCTCGCCGCGGCGTTACGTTTTCCGAATCGACCGCAGACAGCAACTCTGCCACCGTGACAGATTTTCAGTGTCAAAAGGTTGGTGACCCCACTCTAGTGCAACCCAAATACCACCCAAACCCAAGGGTGCAAAGCCTGGTTTCCTTCCTCCCGCTCGTTTGACATCTGCTACTATGTGCAATAGTAATTTCCTCGTGCGCCGCAAATGTCAAACGCTCTCGTTCGAGCAGGAAATGATGTTATGAAGGATTGATTTGTTTCCCTATTAAACACCGAAGATTGAATAAGCGATTTGCTATTTCAGACTTGATTTACTGATTTAATTTCTGGGCTGCATAATTCAAAGTATTATTTTAAGATTTAATTGAATGAATCATTATTTTTAGCAGGTTTATTTATAAATAAAAATTAATATTTAGTTTATGCTATATATGCTATTAACATTATACGCACAATATTAGGTACAAGAGAAGTTCCGCAAAAGTAGGACCTATTTTTTGCAGGATGTGCGCAAAAACTGAGCAACCGAATGTCCTTGACCCGATTAGAAGGGAAATGTCAGAGAGAAACGGATAATTTCGTTGTCAGCTACTGAACTTTAAAAGAGGATTATATTTTATAGAGAATAAACAAAATATCGGTAAGATCGCTCAAGATCTTGCTAATAGCCGAATCTGTGAAATATCGATGACAGCCGTGACGCGTCAGTTTATTCAACAAGCTCTCATTCTACTTACCGTAAGATCATAACCCCGGTACTGCCAGAACTTTTACCAAACAGTTTAACGCATAAAAGGGTTCGCTGCGATCTTATTTCAAGCATAATCGATAAACCTATCACCGACCGCTTCCCAGAACATATCGAATCAGCAGTACATCGTAATATTTTAAGTTCTCAAGCTCGTAAAAAGAAATTGGTTACTGCGACCTAAATATCGAGTCTTAAAACTGAAATTAGATTGCGTTAATGCGTTCAGTAGGAATATAAACTGCGTACCAAACACGCCAAGGGATATGTCATGCCCCAGAAATAATAGCTCGAGCTATGCCACGTACCAAAGTTTGGATCGATGAGATCATCGCATGCAATGACATAAGACATCATATTTAAATGCACATAATTGTGGAATAAGAAACAGCGTAATTTGCGTGAGAATTAAGTGTATGGGGAACAAAATGGTTGGGTATTCAGGCGTCATTGTCAAACTCAAGGATAAGTTGATGTACTTGTGTGTTATTGTGAAATAGTATAAGAGCTGTCAATTACTACATTATGCGTCCATAAAGAGACATGATTGCAGAACTACGTATTACTAAAGAATTATAACTCATTGCATGAACTGTTCAATGTTCTTGCAAAACATAAATACCTATATAAGATTTACATTGTTTTTGTTTTAAACTAAAACTATCCTTGATATTGTTATGCAAGGATATTTATTATTTTATCGTTTATTTTTGGTTTATTAAACGTAAATAGAAATTACATAGCAACATCTATTGATATAGAACACCGGTGCACGTGGTCGTAATTCTTTTTTCTTTCTATTCAATTTGATGTTTCTTTATTTTAATGGGGTCAAATGGTTGGCTAGTCGGATAGTATAGACTGACGCTACTATTATATTCCTTTTTTAAAAACTCGTTTATGCACCTGGTTGCTACTGGGTGGGATAGCACTTTAGTATACTTTTTTATCTAATTTGTATTTTTTTTCTCTCCAATGAGTGTTGAGAAAATACTCACAGTAATCATGCTGTAAAACATAACTATGTACATAGTATGAAACAAAGTCGCTATCCACCGTCTGTCTGCCCCTATGTATCTTTAAAACTACGCAACTAATTTTGATGCGTTTATTTTAATAGATAGAGTGATTCTTAAGAAAGGTTTATGTGTATAATTCATGCATATTGCACCCGTGCGAAGCCGGGGCGGGTCGCTGGTATTTACCTATATAGTTTGTTCTATTAATGAACGATGGCATGTTATATCTTTAAAGAGACTATTATTATAATACGAGAACAGATGTAGAGAAACAAAAGGTTATCTACCCTGTTATTTGACGGAACGTATAGTAAATATTTCGGTTGCCAATGTGTTGTGCCAAAACCTCTCAATCATTGTGTAATAAATTGAATTATTGTTACAGCCTGTCAATTACTAGGACCACGTACGCTCTTGACGTAGATATTTAATTTATAATAGTACGCACTGTTACATGTAAAGTGTATGACGTCATTTATTTACCTAGAATAAATAATAATATATCTTTGTATATTATGAAGATATTCAGCTTCTTCGATACTGCTTTCAATGAGGTAATTCTGTTTTTTTAGAACTTTGGATACCGAGATATGTGAGAGTCTGATCTTAATATTTTTAATGGTTTAATTATTATACAAATATGTCTAAAGCATATCTAAATAATCTATTTAGTATGTCTCACGAAAGTTTTTAGTAGTTTGTCTCAAAAGGTCTAAAGGCACTCAGAAAAATCTTTGTGTATACGCGGTCAACATTTAAACAACAGAACAAAAGCTTATTCCTAGAAACATGTTACATAAGTAAAAATGTGATGATCTTTTCCCAACAACTTTTATATTTTTTTTCCTTTTTAAAAGGCCGGCAACGCACCTGTGACTCCTCTGGTGTTGCGGGTGTTTATAGGCGGCGCTGATCGCTTACCATCAGGTGATCCATCTGCTTGTTTGCCTCCTATTGTATAAAAAACAAACCTACAATTTAGAGACAAAGCCAAATTCAATAAAAACAAAAGAATAAATACACTTCTGTTTGATCCCTGACATTGTTGTTTGGTTGATCACGATTTCATCGTAATTAATGTCATGTCAAATGCACCAACAGTAGTAGTTGTTACTAGTTATTACTGTTTGACAGTCCAATAAAGTTCAGTGACATTCAATTTGACAGATGAAAATTGACATCGCATTTAGGACATGATGTGGTGATCACAATATTATGGTCTTTTGACAGTCTGTCTCCTAAGACAAATGGCATTTAAGCGCTATTCCTATGAATGAAGAGAAAATTAACATAAGTACCTACCTATATAGAATTTTTTACTGAGCCTTTAGATTTACTTTCGGGTTATAATATCTCGGCGGACTAGCGCCTAAATGCCATTAGCTCATAGCACCGGTAAAAAAAGTATAAAAAAACTTCGTGCTTAATCTAAGATATTCATTGATTTCATTTTTGTATCTAATTTTTTTATTAATAAAGAACACAGAACTTCTGAAGACTCATGTTAAACACAAAAGTGAATGATGTAGTTGCAATTAAATATTGATCAATTTAGTATTCTGAATGCAAGTTTAATAGAAGATATAGTATTCATATTTAATAATTGATCTTATAAACAAAATGGTCACACAGAAACAAATTACAAACTAAAAAAAAAAACAATTAAATATCTATTAAAATGCGGACAAAAACCCAGTCTACGTCTACACAGTAAGGCACCATGTCGCGTGATAAATTCGTATAAAATGACACTTGTTTCTGTTGATTTGAAACAAACGTGTATAATAAAAGTGGAGTTTCAATTACATAATGTAAACACTCATTTAATATATTACTGCATTATGTAACACACGCGATGTGTTGATACTATATATACTAGTCAAAACAAAATAAGGGCCACCACGTTTTTATAGTTTCCTCATGAAATTTTGAGGTTTAAGGGTTAATTAATGATTAGATTTGATAAATTAACTGTTTTTTATTATTAACAGCACAAAATGATGAAAGCCACATTCCAAAAAAATAAAATACCATTTTTTCTGAAAAACTAACATTTTTGCAAGCAAAACGTATGAAATAAAATTAAATGAAAAAAGAAAAACAAATCAGATATTGGTTGAATTGTAACTCCTCAATATTTAGTATGCCCTCCTCGTTTTCTAATGCACTCTTGAAGCCTGGATGGTACACTCTCCACCAAGTGTACCACTGTTTCTTGAGGAATTTGTTCCCAGCTTGATTTTAAAATGTTTATTAGCTGTCTTTCATTGTGCACGGGTTGGTTTGTGCTTCGAACGTTGCGTTTGAGTAAATCCCACATGTGTTCAATGGGATTGAGATCCGGACTGTTTGCAGGCCAGGGCAACACCTGTATACCAGCCTCCTCTATAGCTTCTCTAGTGGCCCTAGCTGTATGAGCGCGAGCATTATCGTGCATCAGACGGAATCTTGCGCCGATTCTTTGTGCATATGGGACCACATGAGGTCTTATGACCTCCTCGATGTAACGTTGAGCTGTAATTGTGCCTTCGTTGAGAATTATCAACTCAGTTCTACCTGATGTAGAGATTCCTCCCCACACCATAACGTTAGGGCCCCCAAATCTGTCACTTTCATGGATACAAGCATCCGAAAATCGCTCACCTTCACGCCTCCAGACCCTGATGCGACGGTCATCACTAAAAAATTTTACTTTGCACTCATCCGTAAACAATACTGTGCTCCATTCACTCATATCCCATGCCAGATGCTGCCTTGCGAACGATAATCGGTTTGCACGATGAGCACTTGTCAATGGTATCCGCACTACACGTCTCCTAGAGAACTGCTGGTCCTCGTGTAACCGATTTCTAATGGTTTGATCACTAACACGTGTACCCGTAGCCTGTCGCAAACGGTTTTGTAAGGAACGGGCTGTGATGCAGCGTTCTCTGCGCGCAGTCAAACGTATGTAGCGGTCTTCCTGTGCGGTAGTTGCTCGATTTCTGCCAGATCCCCGTCTCCTGGTTAGTCTCCCAGTCTCTTGAAATCGATTCCAAGCATTCTGAATTGCTCGCCGAGAAAACCCCAGCTGCATCGCAACAGAACGCTGCGAATGGCCTTCTTGAAGTAATGTTACGGCCCTAGTTACGGTTGGTAAGTCCATATGTCGTCGGATTCTCGGCATATCTTTGTTAAAGAAATAACTCAGCCAGAAGTAAAACAAAACTAAACTGTTCTTGACAGAATCGTCAGTTTGACTGACTTAAAATCCATCTTAAAATCGGGTAAAATCAAGTGGGTACAATAAATTATCAAAAACTGCCCACTTC